AAAAATACTAGCAAGTCACTCTAGGCCAGTGGTTCTCAACCTTCCTAATGCTGTGACCTTTAAATACAGTTCCTCATTGTTGTGGTGCTCCACCACCCCCAACCATAAAATCATTTTCTTTGCTACTTCCTAACTGTAATTTTGCTACTGTTCTGAAGCTGGCGACCTCTGTGAAAGGGTCGTTCAACTGCCAGAGGGGTTGCGACCACAGGTTGAGAACCACTGCTCTGGGCTTTAACCATCATTCATCTGTCAGTTGGTTGTCGGTGGTGACTTGGTTGCTGCTGTGATGTTTGAAGTTATGTCACTGGTATTTTACATATGAGCAGGGTCACCCATGGTGAACAGGATTCAGCTAAACCTCCAGACTAAGAATAAAGTGTGAAGAAGTAATAGGCTGTCCACTTCTGAGGAATTATCCATGGAAAACCTACGAGCAGTAGTAGCAGGCCACAGTCAAATAGAGCTGAGAGATGTGCCCCTCAGGTTAGAAAAGCACTCAAAATACAACTGAGAAAAGGCTGCCTCCTCCAAGTAGAGTCAACTTCGATGAAACAATGAAGTAAAGCTAGATGGCTAGACATATCATAGCTGTTATAGACAGAAATGTAATTCAAATTAAATATTGAAATTTTTTATCACAAATGCAATCCCCTTCCTCTTCAAATTTTCATTAGGAGAACAGTCAACCATATGACTGTCTGATTCAAAATGGCAGTATCTGTCCATTTCAGATCACTAATAACTAAGATACCAATCTTAATGCTTTCCATTTCATTTTTCATGACTTCAATTTTTCCTAGATTAATACTACATATATTCCATGTTCCAATTATGAAAGGCTGTTTGCAGCTGTTTTTTCTACTTCTGAGTTGTTCCCATCAGCAAATGAAGGTCCTGAAAGCATTGCTCCATCCCCATCATTATGGTGAACTCTAATTTGAGGAAGCAAGTCTTTCCCAGTGGTGTTTTGAGTGCTTTTGAGCCTGTGGGGGCTCATTTTTTTGTGCCACACCAGGAAATATTCAACTGTTCATAAAGTTCTGAGTGGCTAATCCATCAGAAGTGAATTGCCTGATCCTTCATCCTAATCTGTTCTTAATATGAAAATTCTTCTAAAATAAGTCCACCACAGGTAAACCTTCTTCTGTACTCAAAATACTTGTAGTATGGCTTTTGGCATCACAACAATACACAATACCACAGACCGACGAATGAGGTCTTTAGTTCTTTTGTTGTTGTTTTTCGTCCCAGTCCAGTCAGTACCAAATCATAGAAACCCTATGTACAACAGAACCAAATATCGCCGGATCCTACACCAACCTCACAACTGGGAGGCTGGAGTGCTTTGTGACAGCCATGCTGTAACAGCTCATCAAGGGCCATCCTCCTTCTCGTTGCCATTCTACTGTACCAAGAAAAAGGCCCTTTTCCAGAGACGGGTGTCTCCTGATAACATGTTGAGAGTATGCAAGACAAGCCTCTACATTCCTACTTCCAAAGCGCATTTTGCCTGTACTTCTTCCAAGACAGATTTATTTGTAAATTTTGGCAGCCCATGCTACTTTCAATGTACTCAGCCAGTATAATTCAAATGCATTGATTCTTTTTTAGTATGTCTTTCAACATTTAGCTTTCATATGCATCTGAGGTGACTAAAAATACCATAGCCTGGGTTCAGGCAAACCACAGGCCTCAAAGAAACATCTTTGCTCTTCTAGACTTTAAAAAAGTCTTGTGCCAAAAAAAAAAAAGTCTTGTACAGGAGATTTGCCCAGTCCAATAGCATTTGATCAATGACTGCTACTTCCATGAGCATTAACAAAATTCTTGATAACTTAATTCTTTTCTGCATTTTTCCTGGTGCTCTCTAATGGGGTTAGGATTTTTGTTTTGTGTTAAACATTGAGTTGTAATCCATACTGAAGACTATACTCCTTGATCTTACTAGCAAGTGCTTCAAGTTCTCTTTGTTCTGAACAGCAGCAACAAAAGGTTGAAAAAGCACGGGTTGTTCATGAGCCTTCTTCCTCTGCTCTCGGTGCCATGGTCTTCATGTAGCCCAGTCTCACCGATTGTGGGCTCAGCGCACAGATTGAATAAGTACGGCAAAGAGAATAAAAGACTCACACACCTTTCCTGATTTTAAACCACTCCCCATTCCCTTGTTTGGTTCAAGCAACTGCTTCTTGGCAGCGTTCTTTAACTCCCATTCATCTCAATGCTACCGATAGCATAATGCTAGCTATAGTTTTGATCCTTGACTCTTGGATAGGAGAAGACATAAGTCACACTTTCATCCTGGATCATTAACCTCAGAGGGCTGGAGTTGTTGTCTATTTTCTTTCCCCTACTCCATCCGGATGCCTAGAACATTGACAGGCAACTCAAAGTTGCTCAATAAATACATGCAAAACTAAAGCTTAAAACAACAAACAAATATAATCTCAAATCAGAACTAGGTAACAAGGGTCGCCACTAAGGGCCAGCAACTCATAGCAAAATTGTAATAAGGACCTCAGATGCTGGCATCTAGAGTCCAACTGTTGAGGGCTAAAGGGAGAGAGCATCAGACAAATTGTAAGACCAAAGTAGATCTCTGACTTCACTTTCATATAATTTCTGAAAATTTCAGCGATATATATCAATAACAGTTTGAAAGACTATTACATTTTTAAATCAGATGAATCTGGGTTTTCATTGCTACATTTTCTGAATATACTTGGGTAATCTGGCCAATCCTTCTGCACTTGTTTTCTCATCTACAAACTGAAAAGAATGCTAACTTCTTCATAAAGTGAAAAACAAATTTAATTAAATGACTTACTGTGTAAAGCACAGGAAAGTATTAATAACAGCAGTGTCAGGGATATAGTAGTCAATAAATAAGAGTGTTTTAAATATAGTAAATAATATAATTATAATAGTTATTATTTCTGCCAAATACTCAATCATATCTACCTGTTACCACACTAGCTTTAATTCTGTACTTTAAAAAAGCCTGTTATTGAACTATCATAATTCAACAAGCTGAAAAAACCCCAAAGCAATCCAATAATAAAAATAAAACTTTTAGGTAAGCAAGAGAACAGGGAAAAGAGGTGACCCAAATCTCATCCGATCCTCCGATGCTAAGTTAGATGGCTTATTTAGGAAGAAATATTAAAAGCATGAATAGGAATCTGTCAGACTTGGCATTAGTAAGTCAAATAGAATGACATGATATCTTGGTCTGGAAATAAAACAAATCAATGCTATAGATCTACAAGTCTAGAGTACACCCTTAGAATGAAAACAATGGAAATAGTTTGTTATTTAGACGCTCCCAAAGTTCCCAAACAGAAAACATTCTTTTAGCTCGACCACACAGATAGACATATGTACTGTCTCCAGATGACATATGCTGTTATTATAAAAGTCTGGTGAACCTGGGTGCCATCTGCTACTTTAAAAATGGAGTTAGTTTAGTTCCTCTGTGAGGGGTGAAAGGAGAGGAAACAATACACATTTTTCTCTACCCCTTAACATACAAACATTTTATTTTTTGTGAGTCTATTTTTCCACATTGCTAATCCTTGCTTAGCAAAGTAAGGAAAAACAACCTTGGCTCAAAGTCCATGTAGGCAAAATTAAGTAAATTAAAGTTGATTCTGGGCAAATAACCTACATTTATCAAAAAATCATTTACTTGGCCTGGTGACGACACCAATTGAAATGAAAATGTACTCTAGGGTTTGAAATGTAGACCATGTTGATAAAGAAAAATATAGAATTTATTTTACAATTTGAAGAAAAATGATATGATACAATAAAGGCAGTGTTTAGCTGCTAATTCACAGATTGGCAGTTGAAATCTACCAGCCTAGCAGGAGAATGATGGGGCAATCAGCTTCCGTAGGAGTGACAGCCTCCGAGCCCCCTTTGGGGCAGTTCTACGCTGTCCTATGTGACTGTGGTAAGTTGCAATTGACTTGAGGGCAATGAGTATCCACAATATCATTTTAATTTCATAGTTTAAAGACAATTTATTTTTTAAATATAATCAAAATGTTAGGTTGAAATGTTTCTCGTTTGTACTTTGGCCTAGGTGAAAACTGTTTTGTTTTATTTATTTCATTTTATGCCAATTCTAGAAGCAGAAACTTGTTTCGTCTGCATGGTCCCTAAGATTCAGGGCACTTTTAGTCTTCTCGAAGACTGCACCGTGCATCCCATATATGACAACTCTTTCTTAGATTCCAACTCAGGGGTGTGCCTTTAGGCCAATCGCCTCACAGTTGGCTGATGATTCCAGTCCGAATAATAGAGCACAATATCAGCTACCCTGTGGAATTCTTATGACTACTAAGCCAGGATTACCATGTGAAACCTCCACCTATGGCAGCTATCATTGTTGCTATTAAGTGGGTCAGCTTTTAGCTGCCTCAAGCTTACACAGTTCCCTTTCTCAGTCATGCCAAGTCACTGTGCACACCTTCAGTTGTGTTTGCATATGGCCAGTAAAGAGGCATTCAAAGAAGAGAGTTAAACATGCAAACTTCCACTATAGTTTTTCACATACTTATTTTATGTTTCCCTAAGTTCCTGAAATAGTCCATTATACTTTCATTCCATTTTTCCATGAACTGTTTGGAGGCCTCATGTAGTTACATTTGTATTATTCACTTTATTCTACGCATAAACACAATCAACTTTTTTCACATTTATTTATTGATACTTGACTCTGCAGATTATTTTTATTTTTGCTAATGACTTAAAATTATATTTTACATTAGCAAATGATCCTTAATGAACATGGTTTTATTTTTTTAACCATGTCTATAGTTAATTAGTATTTATAAATGCCCTGAAATAAAGATAATCCTATCCTGCTGATAGTAGTACTCTCTTCTTCCACAAACTACCCATCCTATTCTTTTCCAATAAAATTAAAATCTGGATTTTGGCTACTATTTTTTCCCCCCACATATTTGAGATGCTTAAAATACTTAGGTACTTACAAATTAAATTTAATGGTTTATCTCATGAACATCTTTGTTTATCCTTATTTCCTGGAGTCCAATTCCTCTTGTATTTGGTTTTATTCTTGCTAGAGTAAACCCTCTATTAAAAATTTCAGAGAGAAGCTATTAGTGTTTACGTCCATGAATTATTGAATCATTGCAAAGCATGAATACCAGCTTGGCAGAGGATAAAATTTTAAGTTCAGGGTTCATTTTCTCTCCAACATTAAGGATAATGATTTATTATCTTCTTTCCCCCAGAGTTAATCATGAAAATTCTATTTTTGTTCCATTATAGACTACCCAAGTCTACTTCCCTCTAATAGCTGATAAATTTTTTTGTATTATTGATATATTCAAAATGTGTTTTCATCAGTCTAAATTTGACTCTTATATATTCTTCCTAACAATTGGTTGACCCTTTAGCAGTGCACTTTATCTTTTTTTTTAATTTGTGGCCATCCCTAATGTGTTATTTTTAGAATATTGTACCTACAGAATCTCTTAAATAATTTTCTCATATAAACTCCTTCTGGAAGCAAGTTTTAAGTTCCAGATGAAGTCTCTTCATTTTATATTTCATAATTTCCATATTTTTTATGCTGTTGTACTGGTTGTTGGCAAATTCCTCAATTATGCATTATTAATTTATAAGGTTTTCCCTTTTATTTTAGTGATCAAATTTTAATTTCCTTGATCTGCTTGACTCTCTTGTATGAAGGCAGCATCTATGACATCTCTCTATGGCCGTCCATCAACTGCACTCTGATTACTCTCTTAACTAATTTTGCCTCCATGATATAGTCTGATCTGAGTGAGAGTGGAGTGTGGGAAATACTGAAAAGAAACCTTTCTTAGTTGATCTCCTCAGAATAAATAATAAGTAAATAAATAATAAATCTGCCAGAATCCTAATCTTCTGAACACTCCCGTCTCTATCCAAACCCACTTGCTCACTTAAAGCAGGCACTTCTGTTGATGCTATCTGGACCAGAAAAGCTACGTGGGATTCATTAGGTTTGAGTTACCTGACTGTCCCTCTGCACTAATCTCATTTCCCTGGAAATGTAATGTCATTTTTGTGTACATAACTAATGCATTATATTTTATTATCACAACTTGCTGTATTAATCCTTTCTAATAAAACAAATAAAAAAATTTCCTTGGACTAGCTTTGTAATGCTAGCAAGCAAACAAGTAAATAAAGCTACAAAATTGAAATTTCGCTAAGGAGTCTTAAACATTTTAAATAGTAGAAGCATGAGAAAGACAGAATTGTGGGAGAGGAGGAAATAAGAAACATTATCTACTATAGAATGGGACCTCAGTTTGTCCTGAGGATTGCAGCTAGATTATCTTTCCTATTCTCTCACTTGCCCTTGGGCAAGTTTCTATAACTCTTTGTGCCCAAGAGTACTCATCATTAAACTTAGTTCCCTATCTTAAAAATTCCCTTTGAGAATTAAAAGTGCTAATTTGTATATAGAGCACACAATAATGCTGTATAAATACTATACAATATGTAACTATTGGCTGCTGCTTCTACTAATTATAATTGATAATACTTTGAAATATACTATGGCAGATTTTTTTTTTTAATATTCACTCAAGAATTTTGAACACACCACAAAAGAACGGAAAACAATGTCCTTAGACCGTACGTAACTGTGGAAGCGATGCGGGTTCGGCATAGGTCAGGAGTAGCTGCAGCCCAGTTGAAAAATGAGGACAGACGACCGAAAAGTGGGTGAAGGGAGACGTCGGACAGGGCAAGATATGACAAAATACCCATTTATAAACTATCAAGGGCTCATGCGGGAGGGGGGAGTGGGGAGGGAGGGGAAAAATGAGGACCTAATGTCGGGGGTTTAAATGGAGAGAAAATGTTTTGAGAAACGATGTACAAATGCGCTTTACACAATTGATGTGTGTATGGATTGGGATAACAGTTGTATGAGCCCCTAATATGTTAAAAAAAAAAAAAAAGAAAGAAAAATGAGGCTGTCTGTCCCTCGAAGAGGTACTCTCAGAACACTTCATAGGGTCGGTAGCAGTCAGAATCGACTCTACAGCAGTGAGTTTTGGGGTAAGTATATATAGAGATTCAATTATAATTCTATGATGATAGTTCTAAATAAAGCAAAATTTTGACTAAGAAGACAAGTCACTTAAAATATTCTTGAAATAGTCTAATTAAATGATATAATGAATGTAAACTTGCCTTGAAACATTAAAATTATCATTTAAAATGTAAACTGTTTCATTTCTTGTTAGGGCAGTATTACCTTTAAAATTCATTAACCCAAAATATTTATTTATATGTTACTAGATACTATCCCAAACTACTCACAAAGGTAATCAACTTATATTACAGTCGTTAAAAACTAAAAATATGTTGAATTTTATAATTATATTTAAAAGGAATTTTATATTTGTTATCAGGTTGGTATCAGGAAATAATTTTATTAGTGGGCCAAAGCAAACAATATTTTAAAAGATATTTCCAAAATTATAAAAACAATCTCCCATAAGTATCATTTTATTGTAGGTACTAGGCAGCTTTTAGCCTTTCACCAAACCACATCATGAAGTTTTAATTACACTGCTCTTTCTTATTAACAGCAAAATAGGAGAATGGCTAGAGGAACACTTCAGAGTTTCAACTGTATCATCATATATCCAGAATTGTTAATAGTTGTTTAATATTCTGAAATGAGGAAAAAATGCACACGAGAACATGCAAATATGTTCTGTTCTCACAGCATAACCCTTGGATATGTAAAGCAGATTTAATATTAAAGCTCTAATTTGTCATCCCAGAAATCTAAATACCTCTTAAGTGTTACATAAATGTGTAAAATCTGCACAGGAATGTTATTCTAATCACTTTACATTCAGCAACTTGGCATTACTGATGACTTTTCATAAACTTTACCTACTTCTGCATTTTATTAAATTGCCCATTCACTGATATAGTTTGCAACATCAAGTGAAAAATGCTTTCAATATAAATGTAATTTCAGTTAAAAATACGGATTTCCCCTGATTTATTAAACTGATACTTAACCAAACTGAGGAAATACAATCCACAGCCATATATATACATCAAAATACCTCATGAAATGCCTGACTCAGTGGGTAATTATGTTGTTTTCTGACCACTCTTTTTCCACCTGAGCCAAATTCACTACCATCCAGGCACTGGGTCCTGCGGCAACCCCAGAGGACAGAGTAGAACTGTGGGTTTCGGAAACGAACTCTTTCTGGGAGCAGAAAGCCCATCTTTCTCCCGTGGAGCAGCTGGTGGTCTCAAACTGCCGACCATGCAGTTAGCAGCTCAACTTGTCACCTTCAAGGCCACCAGAGACCCTGTGAAATCAATTACCGATGGCAAAAACATGATACTATGAAAAGTCCTATGAAATTTCACAAATAGCAATGCATTTTTTATTATAAAAGTAATGTATGCTCATTAAGCACACTGTAGTTTACAAATAAGGAAAATGGAAGTAAATTACAGCGCTGCCCCCATAAACTAACTTACACTTACAATTTACAGGGTTTATTATTAATCGGAGCCTGATAGGGTCCCCCTGGAGATATCACTGTAATTTAAATTTCCGTTTAAAAAACAGAATTTCCTGTGCCATTTAAACTATTTCTAAATATCATTATTTACTGCTGCATTATATTAACTTTGTTGGATATATTAATAATACAAAGTTCTCAATAAATTAAGTGCCACTTATATTTCAAGATTTCTCTATTTTATTTCATCAGTTCCCATCTAGACAATTACCCTTGAATATAATTTGGACGTCCTACAGCAAACAGAACTAAAAACATCTCAAATAAAATCTATTATTTTATTTCGAGATCTCTCTCTTTCTATTTCATTTCTTCATAAATTAAAAACACCTGCATAAAATTTACTTTACCCACTATTTTTTTCCTATTCTTTACCTTTAAAATTTATCTTCTAAAGATTTTATTTTAATATTCACTGGCATAGTCTTCTCAATGTAATCCATACTGTATTCTAAAAGCAAATTCAAGCATTTTACAAAGACTGTTACCTCTAAGGGAGTGACAGGTTCAGTATAATAAATTATATCATCATAATATGAGTAATTACCATAGACTAAAAGAGACCACTTCACAACATAAAAGTAATGTATTTGGTGGGAAATCATTTTGCTAGTTTTCAACATTTCATTCAAATAGCTATTGATTTATGAAGGAATCATTTATTACCATTATCTATTATATAAATATTGATGCTGCTGTTAGATGCTGTCAAGTGGGTCCTGACTCAGTGGTGACGCTGGGACAACACAGGAAGACAGCCTGATTCTGTGCCACCCTCAGCATTATTACTGTGTTCTAGGCAAATGCTGCCACCACGCCAGCCCATCTCAGTGAAGGTCATCCTCTTTTTCACTGACCCTCTATCAACCAAATATATATACCCAAACACTGTTGTTCTTTACACCAGTGCTAATGTAAAAGTGAGGCTTTCCTTCAATGGCATTAGTTATTCAGAATGGAAGTATGGTTTGAAGATGTAGTTGGACAAAATGCATATTCTAAATGTTATAAAATCCAAGATCAGCAAAACAAGGCGGCTTTCTTCAATCTCAGCAATGGGCTTAAAGGTTATTTTGTTTGGTATTTAAGTGGTAGCAATGCATAATTCATCTTCTGAATAGGTTTTGCATTTGCTCTCACTAGAAAGATCTCCTTAGAGACTTATTAGAATAGAGTGCTGCTGTAAATCCCACTGCAAATCCAGGGAGCAGAAGAAACTCTACGTCCAGTTCCTTTCTGCTCTTTTCTTAATTCCTCACCGTATTTTGGTCATCTATCTGACTCCTCAAAATCTTGAATGTTATATATCATCTTTCCTACAATCGTCAGGCCTCATACTTTGTAATGCCACATGGGTATATTTTTTAAAATTCTGAATACCTTAAGCCCACATTACATCAACATTTGAATTTTCACTTCAGTTATGGTCTCAAAACGAGCCCTGATGATGTACTGGGTTGTTCATTGGGCTGTTAACCTAAGTCAGTGGTTTGAACCCACCAGCCTCGCCTA